ACACGGGCCACGACAAGGGACGCCACCAAGGTGCTGCTGCCGGGTCCAGACTAGACTCTCATTTATGCGTCCGAAGACTTTATAAGCCGTTTTTTGTTAATGTTGTTTTTTTACGCCTTTTCCAGGAGGAAAGGCTTGGGGCCCGCTCTTTCCCCCACCCTCCTTCCCCCCTCACCAGCGGCCCGTCGCCGCAGCTCGGCGATACAGCTATATCAGACGTGTCAAAACTCTTATCTCACGACTTTGGTCTCAGCCTCCCCCTGGGCTGCACGGCCTCCCCCTGAGCCTCCTCCTCCCCCTCGCCCCGTGTCGCGGGCTGGCTGCTGCTGCTGCTGCTTGTGCTACCCGACAATGGATATGGGCATGGGGCTATATCTCCACACAAGACGCATCAACATCTGACCCCCTCTCCCCTCCCCTCCTCCCCGAGGCACCATGGGCACCCTACGGCCATGTACAGTCATCCCCCCGCTCCTCACTCACACACGCTTTGCCATTCACAGACACCATCCTTGAAGAAGGGCGAGGGTGCTGAGCTGGCGCGCGGGGGATGGTGGTGGGGTGGCGTCAGAGAGACTTTCACTTTCCCAGCGACAGACAGGGCTTTGAAGTCGTCCCCACCAAGGTCTGGCTCGGCTAGTTTGCACACGTTTACCTCAAAATAGATCAGTGGCTGAGAGACGCGCATGATCGACGGAGCACAAAGGCAACTCTCTCCCCCTGCCCTCTGCATGCTTGCCTGCCGGGGGCGTCGAATTTTGACCTCCGACAGGGAGGCAGGCCGATAGACAGACACACAGAGCAGTCTTGGTGGTGTCGCAGACCTCGCAGCAGAGCCCCTCCCGGACGCGGAGGGCAACAACTCGTCGCCTGCCATGACGACGGTGTCGGTGGCGTCCCGACCGAGTTAACTCATTTACCTCGTCAAGCCAATCACTTAGCCGTCGTCGCCGCCCATAATTTAAATTTTTCAGCAGCTGGGCGCGCCGGCACTGCCGAGAGGGAGAGAGAGAGAGAGGAAAGGGGGGGGGGAGGTTGAGACGACGAGTGCCGACAGGGACTGTGAACGTCGCTCACGGGCAAAGTTGCTCGCCATGCCATTCGTCGGGCGACGAATTGCGACGCGGGTTTCGTAAAGTTTGCTCATCACGCGAGTTCACGACTTATTTCCAGCAACTCGCTCCACCTTTCGGGACAAAGTAAGCAGGGTGAACACGGCGAACACATGGCGGCGGCGACGGCATATGACGCTATGGGGGCTCCCCGCGTCTAGATGAGGCGGAAATCAAAGAAGCATAACATTTCCAAGATATGTTGAATCTTGAATCGCCGCCCAGCAGAGAGGCGCCTGGGAGAGCCTCGCCTTACTGCCGACCGGGCCTTGCTTGCGCGGGGCGAGGGCGAGGCCGGCGAGGTGCGACATCCATATTTAAGGAGGTCTCACGGGGGCCGAGGTCCGCTTCAAGGCGCCGTCGTCTGAAGGAGATTCGCGTAATGGGGAGGAAGAAGAGGGGGAGGAGCAGCATGAGCATGAGGACGACGGCGAGGAGCACGAGGGAAATTCCTTTGAATAGCAATATGCAATCATAAATCGTGGCGCTGTGCGCGCAGGCTGCGCACAGGCCCGGCGCGCCCGGCCCCTCCCACAAGAGCAGCGCGGCGCGGCGGATGTGTGATCGCGTAGGAGATGATGGGGTAGAGGGGAGGGCGAAGGATGAGGAGGAGGAGGCTGGAGGGGAGGTACTTAATGACGTCGGGGACCACATCGCCAGCCTGCAGCATTATTCACAGATTGGCCGGCCTGCTGCACTTTCCGCGCGCGCGCCGCCGGCCGGGGCCAAAACAATCATTCCAAAGTGGCCGACTTTCGTCAGGCGCGGCGCGCGCGCGCTGCCGGGCCAATATAATGGACCTGCCGAAGCAGTAGCAGCAAGTCGTATCGTCAGCGCGGGTGAAAAGTGCGCGCCATTTAGAGAGACAACTGGGGATCAATCGATTAATAACTCTGCTGTGCGCCGCGTGGGCGCGCGGCCGCAAGCGGGGCGGGGCCGCGGAGCCGCGCGGGGCGACCTTTGATTGAATTGGTCTCCCCTGTAATCAGCGACCGACTGGAGCCGCTGCAGAGCGAGCGGGCAAGAGAGAGAGAGAGAGAGGGGGGGGGGGATCAGTTTAGGAAGCGCGCCGCTCTCTATCGCGATCAAAATCGTCATTCATCGTACCAAACGTGAAAAAAAACGGGGCTTACATACACCCTGCTCTCCCAGCCCAGCTCCTCCTCTGACGTTGTAGGAAAACAATTTCATCGTCACTACACGGCCTATATCGGGGAGCCTATATAATCTGGGCTGGGGGGGCCGCTCCAATAAGTTATGTGATGGAGGAACCTGACTCGCCCCGAAAAAATATACATACAACGAGGAGCATGCATGTGTGTACCATGTATGTACATGGGTGGAAACATCGCGGCCGCTGAGCTACTGTACCGGGAAGCGTGGCAGGGCAGGGCAGCAAGTATGCCTGATTATATTTCAGAGCAAAATAAATTAATTGCACGCGGCAGCTGCTTGCTTCGCCCGCACCCTTAAGCAGAGTGTGACCAAAGCGCGCCGGCTTATTAAAGCAACGTAATCGACTCGTTCAAGAGAGCGAGGAGTGACCGCAGCGGACACACGGCGCCCATAGGGCTGCATGAGGAGGGGGCCCCATGAGGGGCTGCACATAGGCTTGGCCTGCGGAGCCTGCGCCTGCGGTCAGAGACTCATACGGGGCGTGCGTACCGGGCGCTAGCCATTCATGGCTATCGAACCCACCGCAGCCTGCGGACGAGCCGGGGCAGCCGGGGCAGCTGGGCGAGATGAAAGCTAAGATGGCAGCTGTCCTGGCCGCCCCTTATTAGGGGCAAAGGGGGGCTCATGGCGAAGAGCTGTGGGGCGGGCGCCATAAAACATAAACGTCAGTTTACACCGCCTTTTATCTAAACATTGTATTCGCAAATCTCTTAGACGAGGCTGTTGAGCGCGCGCGCGCTCTGCCGCTCTGCATCCGGGCTCGTAAAACGGGCCGCCAACGAGAAAACGTCAAAGCTACTGCTGCTCGCGTCTCGATGTGTGCCGCCTCCCGCCGAGCCGGGTGGAGCCGGCCTCTATGGCAGCCGCATTAGAGAGTCGTTACACGGGCGCACCCGCGTGCTGTACACACACGGATCCTTTTGTTGCCATTTGTTTATTGGCCCCGCCCGCATCGGTCGCTTAGGGTTGTCTATGGCCGCCTGGTGACCGGCGGGGCACCGGTCGGCCGGGCCGCCCATGGCGCGTCCCGCGTGGGAACACACCTCGAGGTGAGACGCCGGCCCGGCCCGGCCCCACCCCGCCCCGCCCGCGCCCCGCGGTCCGGCCGCTTTACGAGTCCGTTGGCTGTAAAGCGTGATATGCGATACACGCCGGTGTATGGCCCGACCTGACGGCCGCGACGGCGCAGCTCCCCCGCGACGTCCACCATGAGCGTCACCGTCATCCGTTGTTGCCAGGGAGAGAGAGAGAGACGGCTGATGCCGGGACTGACCACTTATCCGGGTGGCGCTTGGCGGTGCCCTGCCGGTCTGAGGCCGCTTCGCAAATAATTCAGTCTCTCCTTTTACATCTTCAATTTCAACTTCAAATAGAGTTCCAAGGGTCATACAGGGCGGCCCTCGAGCCCAGCACGCTAGCGTGGGATAGCCTCCTTCCACAATCACCATGGCGCTGAGCGAGTAGCACGGTGTACAGAGATATCTCTCTACACAGTGGCGAGTAGGCAACGCGCCAGCGTGCGGTGCAATACCTTACTTGTTCCGGAGTTTGTGGGGGTTAAATAAATTTCAATAACCTAACCTACAGCTCTAAGAGAACTGTACCACGTGGCTAGCCCCGCACACTTTTGTAGTTATACTGTACGGCATACACGAGTGCGGGCGGGTTGCCTATTCAGGCTCGTAAGGCGCCGTGGGCAGCGACGATAGGCAAACTCGCCCGCACGCCTGCATGCGGTTCAGTACAGCTTCACAAGTGCGCGGGGTTAGTATCCGCCGGCGGAAAAATCACCCGGATAGACGTGCCTGCCGACACCTTCCAGTGCACCTCGTGCTCCCGGGCGCTGTTCTAGTGCGCGCGGCCCCCCGCCGGCCCTGCGGCGCAGCGAGCAGCCTGCCTGTCGGTCCTTGCGACAGAGATCAGGCGCCATAAATCAAAGGATGCCCGTCCGGCCGGCGCGCTATCGGCCGACACCTGTGCAGGTGGCGTGTTGTCACGGGCGGCGTGGCGGGGCGTGGCGCGGGGGACCGCAGGGCAGGCAGGGCGCTACCGGCCGCTGAGGAATGAACCCTTCGGCCGCGCCGATGGTCTCGTTGGACACAACATTGTCAGCCGGAGTTAGAGACTCGCACGACGGCGGCGACACCTCGGCCAGCCGGTCGGCCGGGCGGCGGCGGTGGAGGTGGTGGTGTGTTGTCGCCGAGACCCTGCCGGGCGCTATCGGCGACCACGATCGGGCCGATCGAGACATTCACTTTATTACCTCTGGCCGCCGCCCTGGTCGCACCGGCGCAGCCCCGGCGGCCCCCAGCCCGGTGCCCCGGGAGGCCGGGCGGGGCGTGGCGGCGCGTAGCGGTAGAGGTGCCGCTTGGACAGACTGATCAATTTGATGGGCACTGCCGCTTGGTCATCGCCCACACCTGGACGCGGGGCGCGGCGGCGGCGGCGCGGCCGCGGTGTGTGTGTGTGTACTCCATCCATATGGATGGTAGTTTGTCGGATGCGGTTATCCCCCGATGTTATTGAGACCCGTGAATATTCATGGTTCGGAGGAAGTGTGGGGGGAAATGGGTGAAACGAGGTCCGGCCGGCGGATGTTGGCCCTACAGCATCGGCGGGAGATGCGGCGGCGGCGCGTAGGCACCCCGAAGGGGCGCTGCTTAGCTATGCCGATGGAAAGTTCGACTTGTCTCTGCTTGAGGAGGCCCTCACCTTGGGGAAGCTGAGGCGGTTGAAGACGACCTTGATGTCGGTGGCGGTGACCCAGTCCTGCAGCACCGGCGAGTAGTCAAAGTCCGCGGCGGAGGGTCTGCCCTCCAGGAGGCTGAACGCGATCCTGGAGGAGGCGGAGGACGCGTCGGTGCACAGGGCCTCCTGCTCGTTGGCGCGAGTGATGGTGGCGCGGTTGGGCCGGCCGTACACGCGGCGGCACTGCGACGAGTAGAAGTGCCACGGCTGCCACGTCTTGCCATAGTCCATGGACTTGTAGATGGCCAGCGAGTCGGGCTTGACGGCGCGCGGGCAGAACTGCAGGCTGACGTACGTCAGCTCGTACTTCTTGCCCAGGCTGAGCGTGAGGCTCACGTTGTCCGGCGGCGCGGAGCTGGACGCGGGCGGCGGCTGCGGCTCGGACCGCCAGCACGTCACGTTGGCGGGGTTGTTGAGGTCGGTGAGGAAGGCGGCCGGGTGGCGGCGGCGCGCGTGCGTGTCGTCGCACACCTGGCAGCCGCCCTGGGTGTCGCAGACGCGCACGGGGCCCGCCTCGCCGCACGTGGAGCTCGCCTCTACCGGCTTGCCGAAGGCCGCGTTCACAAAGTCCGGGATGCAGCGGCGCGGCGCGCCCGACTCGTCGTAGCAAGGGTCGCCGGCGCCCGGCGAGGACGTGGACGGCGGCGGGTCCACGTCCTGGGCACGCACCGCCATCACCGCGAGCACCACCAGCGGCCACCACGGGGCGGCCATGGCAACCATCGGGAATCCAATCGCAGCAGCGGTCAAACGATCAGGGCATAATCCGGGCCCGGTCACAACACAAAGCACTGCACGCACACACACACACTCACATCACAGGGGGAGGTCAGTAATCCAAGGGCCTAACGACGCACGCGCACAGGACAACGAGGGGCACGACGCATGCGCAGGGCGTCTGCTCTCCACCAGCGTCGGCGCAGCACTGACTGGGCTGCTGCTGTGGTGGAGGAGCGGCCGCAGCGCTGCCTGCCAGCCTGCCTGCCGGCCGGGCGGATCCTGGCCCTGCTGCCCCGGCCACGCCAGACAGATCGGCGGCGGGCGCGGCGAGGCAGGCGGGCCGGCGGCAGCCTGCAGGGCGCAGGGCATGGGGGATGCAGGGCCAGGAATGCTCCGGGAACCGAAACCACATCACGCGTCTGCTGGAGAGGAGGGCACCATGCGTGTCCCTCCAGCACCGAGGAGCAGCACGACGAGCACGGCGGGCGCGTCGACCAGCAGGAACATCTATCTCTCACCCGGCGGGTTGGTTACTTGCCCAAAGCGCGCGAATGCGGCGAGCGGCA